CCGAGTCGGGTATTAAAATATTATACAAACAAAATGCAAAACTATATAATTACAACCACATTAGTTATCTCTCTTTGCTATAGCCTTAACTCGGTCGGGATCGGTAGATTCTCAAATGCACATCAATAAACAACAAATAAACTACTAAAGCTTAGTGAGCAACATTAGCCTTAAATAATAATATCACAATAACAATCATAATAATAATATTGTAAAAATCTCAATTAATCTTTGATTAGTCCCTATGTGTTACCTAACTGACTAGAAGACGCCTAACAATTAATCCCTACCTACAAAATGAACAAAACAGTACCAAACGATGCAATTTGAACACTTTGAAGAAGTTCTATCTCAATATAAATATTTGAGGAGTTATTAGTGTCGTATTAATTATATTAACATATTTTTTCCTGATATTAGTGGTATTTATAAACTTTTTTATGATATTAGTCATATATATATATATTTTTAAATTCAACAAATTAGTAATTTAGGGTCCCTACTTAATCCCCGTCTAGCTAACGTCTAGCGTTTTTTATAACCTCATAATAATGAAAACATTAATAACAATTATTCACATTGTGTCTTTCAAATAACACATATATAACAATTATTCACATTGTGCCTTTCAAAAAACACACATACACATGCTTGTAAGTTCATATGGTGTTACGACCACAAAGGTTACCAATGACTTGTTAGTTTTCCTCAACGATAGTATTATAGACACAAAGGCTACTACCATACCCATATAATGCTTCATCGTGATATTAAAGCTACAAAGGCTATCCCCAAAATTAACATTTTCTCAAACCATAATATTAGAGCCACAAAGGCTACTAGGTATTATCCCCCCCCCCCCCCCCCCCCCCCCCCCCCCCCCCCCCCCCCCCCACATTGTGATGTTCTCCAAATACCACGTTCATATTCACATGAATAGATAGTTAACTACTAACTATCAAGGTGGAAGGATGTATAATTACTCACTTTATAATAATTTACATGCACTAGCCTTCAACTTTTAAAGCCCAGCCCCTGTCTCCCGTTTCACAACCCCAAACATTATCAAATAAACACATAACTCTTGAGTATTACAACTCAAGATATAACTTATTTGTCTATCACTCTTGACTCAATGTTTTCATCAAGTTTATACACCCTCCTATGTATAACTAATTATAATCCATGAACTATCACACCCCCAAACCGGAACGGCGGAAACATTCGGGGGCGTAAGACGTCATGTTTAGCATCACAACCTATGAATAGTAGGAAACATAGCAACACAACCAATACATTGGATACATATATAAGTAAAATGTTTACATCAGTTTGAATTCTTGTTTTAGGTACATCAAAAGTATGTAAAGTAATAAGACTCTTATTGCTCCAGCTTCTCAAATTCCAGTAGGTACCTGTCTACTGATTTCCCGAGAATACAAGCAGTTTTGAAAGAATATCAACATAAAGCTGGTGAGTTCATAAGCATTTAGGTTTTGTAGAAAATGTTTTTTTGATCCTTTTTGAAAAGTGTTCCTCAAGAAAATCCTATATTTTCTTATGAAAAGCAGTTTTGAAAGAGTATCTGTTGGTAGAAAGTAAACCATCAGTTTTAGAAATGCCAGTGTTATCCTAGGAAAATCCTATATTTTCCCTAAAAACAAGTTATCCATTCTAGAGGTAGAGATGTCAGTTTAGAAACCCCTGATTACTATCAGTATATATATAAGTAGTTTTATTACTCAAAATAAAACAATGAAGAGTAGAGTCCGTAAATCAAAGTTAGTTTATACTTATTTGCGAGTCGTATAACTATACTTGATATAACCTAGAGACCTTTATAACGTTCTTCAGGCGTTAAGTTAAATGACATTTGTTCACCCCATGCGTGCCCGCCTAACTGTAGCTAGCAGTTCGGGTGTGGGATTGTCAGTACCGGATAGATTTATTCACAAATCTCACGCTCTCCTTCCAGAAGACTATGGTTATACTATGATAGGATTTAGTTCTGTACATTAAAGGGTACAATATTGAAGTAGAGCCTCGCAATTCTGTATAATCTAGTTTACTGGTGAGAAACAGTATAAAACAATAGTTATTCTTGAATAAATGTACTTTATACTTCTGAGAAAACATACAACATAAACTAAATCGACCATAGTTTATATATATATATATATATATATATATATATATATATATATATATATATATATATATATATATATATATATATATATATTCAACCAGGAAATCTAATTTTGTAGAAACTACCTAGAGGGTTATCCCAAACTATACCCATTATAGTTTACTAGAGTTGTTATGGGAGATGTTTTGTAAAACCTTTCTGAAAGATATGTAGTAAGATTTCCAAAATAACAATTTCCCTTATGCTCAACATGTTACAAAAGAGATAAAATATATGAGTAAGTTATTAAACATGGAAATCGTTGAGTTGTATTAATAAGTTTAAAACTTAATAAAATACTTTGAGTTTGGCTTGTATTCCCCCCCCCCCCCCACCATCTTAAAAACATTAAAAACACGTAAAATGTATGGGTATGAACTCACCTGCAGTGAGTAGTTTGGATGAAAGAGTGGTATAGGATGCTAGATGCCAAGTGGAAACTTGAACACACACACACAAATCCTAATAAGCATACAAGGACACAAATGAATATAATTAGTGTTTTAACAACTAATCAAGTGAGTGAAACACCTTAGGGGCTAGGGAACACTCATATAGAAGTGTTATAACCACAAAGGATTGCATCTAAGGAGTTTAAGGCCACCCTATTGTGTTTACGACTAGGTATTCACGACCACTAGGGTTTACGGCCACAAGTTCACAGCCACAAGAGTTTACGGCCGTAAACTCATGATGATTTGTGCTCGAAAGGGTGTTTTTATGGTCTTACAGTCCACAAGGAAGTGTTCCAGCCTTAAGTACAAGTCTTATGAAGAGTTACGACCCCATTTGCACCTCTAATAAGGGTTTACGGCCAAGGGAGATGCTCTTGGTCGTAAACTCACTTTGATCGGTATTCTTGGATGAATTCAAGGTGCTAATCATGGCTTCATACTAGATATCATGTATAAGGAAGTCATACTTACGATTTAAAGGCAAGAAAAGGTGTTTTCAGCCCAAAACACCTAAGTGTTCTTGATGTTCTTGAGAATCTTCGAAGATCTAGACTCAAAGATGAAATCCATGGATGAAATCAATGATGATTCATGGAGAAGAGGAGTATTAACACTTAGATGGAAGGATTTACTTACATTATGAGAGTTTTTGAAGCAAATCCTATGATTTCTTGAGAGAGTTTTCGAGTTCCAAACCTTAGAAAGGAAAGAATGCAGAAAATGGACCAAACATCCTATTTATAGGTGGAGTTTACGGCCAGCATGGGTTTACGGCCACCATGAGTTTATGGCCGCAAACTCATGGATCCTGGCTGTAAACTCCTCACTTGAGGGTTTATGGCTTGATTGATGGTTTGGAACTTTAGTTGACCCATTCTAACACTTGGTCCCTTGATGTACTAAGCTTAGAACGCTCAAACAAACTCTAAACAGTGCAAGAAGTCAATAAAACAAGCTTAGCATTGATAAAGTTGACTAAATGTACAAGCCACGCGTTCCTTTCTCCTTCGCCACCATCTCGCCACAACAACTGCCACCGCCACCACCACTACGATCACTTCTGATACCAGCCGACCCTACCACTGTCACCTCCGTCATATATACCACCACCACATCTGCCACCACCATCTCTTTTGCCACCAGCCATGATAATCATATGTGATTACTCAATCTGTGAACAAACATATATGTATCATCATTTATGATTAGACATATACGTATAAATATGTATAATCATAGAAGATTATACCACTCTGTTATATAATCATTTATGATTAGGCGTACCTGGGTATGCTGAAGCGTTAGAGTGGCAAATGAAAAATATATAGCTGGGTTAAATCTCAAGATCTTTATTTTTTTTAATCTCAAATTAACTGTCATACACAAAGTAGTGGTTGTTTAATAAAAAAAACTAACCGTTGGATATCTTATGACCATAATCTTCACGGGGAAAACTAACCCTTGGATATTTTATTTAAAAAACTAACCCCGGGGACGTCCTCTTTTTGGTCACGGCGTTGCTCATTTGCACGTCCTCTTTCTGTTCGTTTCTTCGTTCTTCTTCAATTCCATTCAGAATGTTTTCTTAGTAATTTTGAGTATGTAAGGAGCGGCCATGGGTGAGTGCAGTCGTGCAGGTTGCAGTCACTTCTAAGATACCAAAAAAAAATTAGTTTTGGTTTTGGTTTTGGTTTTGGTTTTTTTTTTTTTTTTTTTTGAAGATATGAAAGTGTTTACAGTTCTGATGATTATCTTTTTTCTTTATATATGATCGTATACAGGTTTTACGATTGAATTTTTAAGAATTCTTTTCGATTCTGTTTATGGGGATCTCATTCTCATAGCCTCCTAACCTGGGTTTCACTTTTTATAACATTTTGGGTAATTAATATATTCTGTGAGAGTTCTTTACTTCTTTTCATGCTGTTAAACAATTCTGGTTTCTGTCTGTTTTAATTATTGATGAGTTATTCAGTAAAAGAGAAAGGATATCAATGATGTACATGGTTTTTTATCCATTGTTTCTCAATTTTAGGGTTCTCGAGTAAGAGATGGATGGAGACAATGATTATATGGTCATTTTGAAATATTAATAAGTTAAACTATCTAGTCACTAAAAATGTGATCAAACATCGTTTCAGACTATCAGGGAAGAAAAGAGAAACAAAAAGTAAAAATTCATGCATCATGTCCACAAAAGGTGATAAAAGATATAAAAACAAGGACAAGGACGATTTTTGTAAATTAGTTATTATTAGAATACTTGGTTGAGATCAATGGGTATGAAGAAGAATTCAACCTAATAAACTTCAAAGAAAATTCCATAAGGTATGACTTTCATGAAAAGTAGTTGTTGACTTAGACTTCCTTTAAAAGCCACTACCTTTTCTTAATGTGATTGTAGATCTAGTCTGTAATTAGTTATGGCTGTTCTCTCAAAATTTGTTGAAGGATCATCTTCTTCATCTACTAATAATCATAAATATGATGTATTTTTAAGTTTCCGAGGTGTTGATACTCGTTATGGTTTCACAGATCATCTCCATAAGGCGCTCTTGGATGCAAATATTTCCACCTTTTTGGATGATAAAGAGATTGAAACTGGAGGAGAGCTAAAACCGGAATTGGAGAGTGCAATTAAAACATCTAGGGCTTCTGTTATCGTGGACTAATGCCCTTACACAAGTTGCTAATTTAAAAGGGATGTATGCAAAGGGCAGGTAGCCACTTTCTTACCCATATTTCCCTACTCCAATTTTGTTTGATTAATGCTTGAAATCATTTATTTTGTTCACCCTATGCATTTTAATATCATCAAAGACACATAGTTTTGATGCATTTAAATAATTTAGATACAGTTGTGGTTAGAATCAAATTTTGAACAACTTGCTATGCATATATTATTTTAACATAATCTAATGTTATCTGATTAACCAGTATAATAACTTTCACATGCTTACTACTAAAAGCTGAATTTTTAACCTAGTATTAGTTATACCATTTGACCTTTAAATAATAGCCTCTTTTGTAATGAAAAATAATTTCTCTTGTATATATATAATGAAATTTGATGGCCTCTTGGTGAAATTTTGTATTACAGTAGCTATGTTCTTATTAGAAATGAAGATTATGATTTACACAAGTTGCTAACATGACATTGTTTTGATGTGAAAAACTTAATGAAAATTACTAACCTAAGATAATTTAATTTCAACCGGGGATCTTTGGATAAATTAAATCTCCAAATCCTGTTTGTTAGTATTATATATTTTGTTTTGTACTTATTAAAACTAAATTTCAGGAAAGAGACAGAGTTTGTTAAGGACATCTACCGTAGATTACATAAGATGATAACTGATCTACCACAACTATTTGGGATGGGTGATTCCATTGAATTCATCACTTCATGGTTGAAAGACGATTCCTCATAATCATATAGGGGGGGCATTCTCACTATTTTGATGCCATTTAAAAAAAAAGTTCAATTCAAGTTTATGATGTTCCTGTATACACCTCAAAGATAGAGAATGTATTGGCCTATAAAAAGGTGTTTCTAGTATGTTGATTATGGCGTCATGAGGAGTCATTCAAATAATTAGAGTTTATTTTTATATAGTATATATAAGTTAAGTTGTGTTTTTAATTTCTTTAATGGATGGATCCAGCTATGAATTGATCAAGTTTCTAGATATGTTGGATCATATACATACATAAGCTGAGATCTTGACCCAACTCATTGACGGACTTATCTATCTACAAACAGCTACTGTGTTTTTTTAACTGAACTTCTATAACACAATGTTCATGTCCAAGTGGATGTATGTATGTGAATGATAATTATTGTATTGCTTTTTATTTGTTTCCATCTTAAGACGAAGTGTGGTTTAGAGCTTTTTCCAGAAGGAAGTCCGACATACTTGGCGACTCACATGAGGTATATTTTTTCACACCAAAACTTTTCTTTCGTCATATGAATAAAAGGGGATGTAATAAAATAAAAGAAGCTATAACCTTGCAATTAATGGATGTTTGGAAATTCCCTAGTTATCAAGTCTTATTAAAAGTAAATAAACAACATATTGACCTCTAATCACTATTCTCACTTACCTCCATCTTTGTTTAAATCTGCACATCAGCAAGGATCAATACAAGGTGAAACTTCTTCCGAGTGCCGCCACTCCATCACCATCCACCACCGGCTTCCGTCAGTCAAATCTCATTGCCGCCCCTCACAGCTGGTCCGGAGGCAGCCTTTGCTCCACCGCTTCCACTGGAAGATTCTCCTACGCCGCACACGAATGCGGATCCAGAAGAAGCATCGAGTGCGGCGGTGGTGCCGCTGCCCCTCCATCCACCATCGCTGAATTCATACTTAATGAAGCAACTTCTACTAAGTTAATCTTGTCCGCATATGCCACCACAAGAAACACAAACTCAACACACCTATATGTGCTACAAATAAGCAAGTTCTGGTAATTATGTTGGACTATTTATAAACATTTCTTTTGTTTTACTAGTTTGTGTCTCAATCGTTTGTGGTTTGTTGTCAAATTATCGCGTGTTTTGTTTCTTCTTAATAAAGATTGGGTACCAAACCAATCAAACATCTCGATTGCCATGTTTCAATGTAGTTTAAACTTCACCCGCATTTATCATTTCTTAGCACATTTTCTAAAGATGTGTTGGTGATTTAATATCATCAATATTATTTAAGTGTAATAGGATTAAGTTTGTTAAACAAAAGTGATCTTGTTGAATATTAAACAAGGCAGGATGGTGTAGGAGTGCACACTTATCCAAGTTTTCATTATTCAAAGTACATTGTTAATTAGGGGCAAAGCCCCTAAACAAACGGGGAAAATCCGATTTTTTTAGAAAAATGACCCTTTTCCTAGAGATCCGTTTTATGACAGGTTTAGTAGTTTTGATGACAATTTTTAGCTATCCTGTGACAGTTTTCATACAGGAATCATATAGCCATTTTTTTTGGTCATTTTATGGTACATTTTCTTAAAAGAACATTTCACATACATTCTTTGACTTCGTATCTCTGAATTTTATCCAATTGAGTGTTCGATCTATACCATCGAAATACTTTAATTTGATAGTGAATCGTGACTTTCTGAGAATCCAATCAATCTGTTCATCCCCTATTTCTAACAAGACGGTCTTTCGTTTTCAATTAGATTTTTTTTTGTGTGCAAATTCATTCTACATACATCATTTGATGAGAGAGATTAGGTGTTGGATTTGTTCGTGCATCCTGTTTAATTTTTGTGCATGGAATAACTAGTATTTCATAAGCCAAATGCTATAGCATTCTCGACATTTTCATACGCTTGATAAATTCATGTTCTATGTTGATTGATATGGTTAATTTTAAAAAGACCTAAAACTTATACTTTTTTTTTTTTTTTTTCGTTCTAAACCAAAAGTTATTTTTACCAATTAAACCAACTATTTTTTTCATTTGCTCAGATTTGCTGGTTACCTTTCGTTAATATGTTTCCCTAAAAAAACCCTACATTCCCTAAAGGTTTCCCAAATGACCTAAGGGTTAAAAAAACGCATTTCCTCACGTTGTATCATTACATGAATGTAAAAAGTTTAAAACCACAGGCCTTCAACTCCTAAACATATCTAAAAGGTTACATGTTCACGAAATCTAATTAGTAAAATAGTAAAAGACTCTAGAAATATAGTTATAATGGCATAGAACAATGAAGATTTATTTTTTTGTCATTGTTGTGTTTGTTGATGACATCCATATAATCGGCAACAAGATATACATAATAGAATCTTAGCACCAGATTCACCAACAATATTAAGATCACCACTTGTTTTCATTTTCTCCAGAAACCTACATGCAAGAAGAAAGAATGAGAACATGATTAGACATTTAAAAAAGTAGAAAAATAATAATCGTCTTATGTGATTTTGGATATATGTTCAAACAAAGTATATGAAGTTCCAGAATTGTGAAATGTTCCCAAGTTTGTGATTAGATCCTCCTTTCCTAACCATAAGGGTTTTTTTCATCATGTCTGACTTGTGATATCTCTCTCTTTGTAATGCTACTACCATGCCCCCATCTGCTTTGTTCCTCTCCCAATCCTCCTTTGCTTGATTCTTGCTCGTACTAACATGGAAACGTACATCCCATGCAGGATACCTACAAACTCTAATCCAAAGCTCCCTTATGAATGCAACCCCATTTTAGACCCGACGCGTTATCAGAGTCTCGTTGGCACACTATAATATCTCACTTTCACTTGTCCTGATTATTGCTTATGTGGTTCAACAAATTTTCCTCTACATGCATGATCCACGAGAATTGTATTTCATTTCCCTCAGATGTATCCCCGCTACTTTAGGGAACTATTACGCATGACCTTTTGATTCGTCTATCTCATACTGATCGTTTGTCTCTTATTGGGATGGTTGTCCTCGGATACGTAGGTTTGTGTTTGGATGTTGTTTCTAGCTTGGTGACAAACTCATCTCGTGCTCACCTAAACTTCAACATGTTGTTTCTCGGTCTAGCACCAAAGTTGAGTATCGGGGTAGATAATGTTGTAGCCAAAGCTGCTTGGCTTCAAAAGCTCCTCGAGTTAGGTTATATCTTATCCAACAATATTGTTGTTTTTTTCTTGTATGTAAGTGTCATGTATTTAACATCTAACCTACTACAACACTACTAAACATGTGGAAAATCGATTTAATTTTGTCAGGAAACATGTTAACATGTTATCTGGTCAAGTTCATATGATAAACGTCTGTCCTCACATCAGTTTGTAGATATATTCACAAAATGATTACCTACAACAATTATATATGAACTTTAGAGATACTTTAAGCATTTGGAAACCCTATGCTCCGAGTGTGGGTGTGTTAAATGTTATGCATTTATTTGTTCATATTGTATAGTGTAGGGTATTTTATAACTGATATGCATTGGAGATCACTTCTCTTAAATTAAAGTAACCCGCGATAATTTAACACAAAGTACACTCATTTCTTTTTCACTTTTTACAAAATAACAAGGTGTACATTCATATTGAAATTTGCAAAATACAATTAGTTATCACAATATTACTTACAATACAAAACATCCAAAGACCGAGTCGGTATTAAAATATTATACAACCAAAATGCAAAGCTATAAAACTACTCCACGTTAGTTTTCTCTTTATTGTGGCCTTAACTCAGTCGGGATCGGTAGATCCTCAAATGCACATTAATTAATAACAGATAAACCACTAAAGTTTATTGAGCAACATTATCCTTAAATCATGATATCACAATAACAATCATAATAACAATGTTGTAAAAATCTCAATTGATCTTTGATTAGTCTCTATGCGCTACTTACTAGAAGACGCCTAACAATTATTCACTGCGTACAAAATGAGCGAAACAGTAGCAAACGATGAAATTTTAACACTTTGAATAAGTTTCATCTCAATATAAATATTTGAGAAATGATTAGTATCGTATTAATTATATTAACATATTTTGTTATGATATTAGTGGTATTTACAAACTTTGCTATAATATTAGTCATATTTAATTTTTTAAAAATCAAAAAATTAGTAATTTACGGTCCCTGTTTAATCCCCGTCTAGCTAATGTCGAACGCTTTTTATAACCTTGTAATAATGAAAGCATTAATAACAATTATTCACATTGTACCTTTCAAATAACACATATACACATGCTTCTAAGTTCATATGGTATTATGACCACGAAGGCTACCAATGACCTGTTAGTTTTCTTCAACGATAGTATTATAAACATAAAGGCTACTACCATACCTAAATAATGCTTCCTCGTGATATTAAAGCTACAAAGGTTATCCCTAAAATTAACATGTCCCTAGACCATAGAGTTACAACCATAAAGGCTACTAGGTATTATCCACCCCCTCCCCCCAATTGTTGATGTTCTCCCCACACCACATTCATATTCACATGAATAGATGGTTAACTACTAACTATCAAGATGGACAAATGTATAATTACTCACTATGTAATAATTTACATGTACTAGTCTTCAACTTTTAAAGCCCAATCTCTGTCTCCAGTTTCACAACCCCAAACACTATCAAATAAACACATAATTCGTAAGTACTACAACTCAAGATATAACTCATTTGTCTATCACTCTTGACTCAATGTTTTCATCAAGTTTATACACCCTCTTATGTACAACTAATTATAATCCATGAACTTAGTTGTCTATGTGTATTAATTCATTAATACATAGATTAAGTCCTACTAAAATCATCATTTCATCACCTCAAGTATCGATGTTCAAGTTCATCTATATGTCTTGATTCTTATCGATGTTCAAGTTCATCTATATGTCTTAATTCTTTAAGACATAGGTTTATTTCCACCTTTTTTTTTTTAATTCAACTCGAGCATTAAAGCTGCATGTATATGTCATATATATGACTTAATCTCATGGTTAACTTTCCCACATCAAAATTAATTATGCTTCATGTGTAATTCATTCATTTAACTTAATCTACTAAGATATCATAACATTTCACTAATCTAACAATTCACCAAATTAGGGTTCATAATCACCCCTTTTAATATATGTGAATTAAGATATAACTTTAATATAAAGTGATTGGAATATGATCAATGAGCCTACTACATCATTACTACAATGACTTTCTTTTAATTCAAGCATTAAGGTTTCATCACCTCAATCATGTTTATCATTAGAGCTCAAATGAGCTTCAAGAACAAGATGGTACCTTTGATTCAGGTAGAAATGGCCCCTGATTCCCTTGATCCTCAAGCTCCAAGTTTTTTCAAGAATCTCCCAAATCACCCCTGATTACTTTTATAGTGTGTGTATCAAAGATTGAAGAAAGTATATGATGATTATACTCCTTATCCTCATTTACTCATTAACCGACTTTGTTCTTGACACATTACATTGTTTTCCTATATTATCATCATACTATCGGACACATGACATTATTATTCTATTACACATCTTTTTATAATTAATTCTTGATATAGCAATTTACATTAACGTTTTACATCAAAAGATGCCTTAACTTGGTTTTATGTGTCACGTAAATTAATAATTACACTTTGTGTGATTCCTGCAACTCAACACTTAATCAAATATCAAGTTTTACCCCTGGTTATCAATAACTCCATATCTAACAATTTAACTCAATCCCAAAAACTCAAGCTTCCTTGCATTATTGTGAAGGATTTTCCTGACCTTCCTTGAACATAATTGATAGTAATGCAGTGCATTGTTTATATGAAATAAAAAGTCAATCATATATGCAATAATACTACATCCTGGTTACATTCGAAATTTTATGGTATTTTTAAAGTTTATGGTTGGATATCATGCAATCAAACACCACATGAATAAATTAGTTATCTATAATAGAAATCCTACGAAAAAAAGGTTAAGCAATTAGCAAACCTCTTGGAAGCATCTAAAAGTACAAAAACCATGTCTTCTCATGGATCCACCAATTAACCTCAACATTTGCATGTAACTTTCTTTTTATAAAGCAAAAACAATATCATTATAACACCATATTCATGATATAATGAGAGACATTTTGATACTAAAGCATGATATTCACCTGTTAATCTTGAATAACCTTATATCCTAACGTGT